AACAAAAATTCCACTTGCAAGCAGACAAGGTAGCATGCCAGCTACAAGATGATTCTCGGCTTGTGTTCAATCCACTCAGTCTGTGACTGCCTACAGAAGCTTGTCATTCCAAATGTGATGAGCCATGGCAGCCTTGAAGAAAGCTCCTCTGCTGGGATGTTTTGGGATTGTCTGAGTGAGGCTGAAGCAAATGCTTAGTAAGATATGGAGTTGCCCAAGTACACTAAGAGCAAAGTATTGCATCAGCATGCGTTCTTCATCAGCCTGTTTCAGCCTGTGTGTACCACATTTCAGGAAAACTATGAAAAGTTTAACACTAGGAGAGAGTACTTCCTGAGGTAGAAACAAAACCAGCAATATAATAGGTATACATATATGTATTTGCTTCTATTTTATCCAATGAGGGAAGATTGGAAAGGGAGAATGATACTTCACGGGATTCCTGGCATCCAGTCTTTGATTTCTGGCACAGAAGCAGGGTTGCTGCTTGCTGTAGTGATGTGTGACAACCGCAGTGCTTTGACAGTCCCGCTCTGGAAAGATCTAATTGTTCTTGGCTGGATTTCACAGGTGTTGGGGATGTGTTTCTGAATCAGACACGTATCCATATGTATCTCAGCAGTCTTGTTTTTGCTGGTCATCTTCTCCAATGGGAAAAATGGTGAAGCAGCAATGGAGAGTGAGAGAGAGGGACGTAGGAGGTGAGTGGACTGTATGAGCTTGTCCTAGACCATGGTTTGTCAGTCAGCATCACTGTTAGCTCAGATGATTTAGCACAGTGTATTCCCACGTTATTTATTCCCTTTGCACCGCAGAATCTGAAGATGAGTGATTCAGTAGTTGAACAGTTCCCATGCAATATTTGGTGTTGGTCACCTGAGCTACACTAAATATATACTAATGTGAAAGATAGGGCTGGAGCTACACCTTCCCCTGTGCACTCTTGCCCAGATTTACTGCCAGGGTTATCTCTGTAGTCAACACAGCATCACTTCGTTGTAGAACATAAGGATTTGGAAGAGCACAACCAAAACCCAGCAGTATGTATTCAGGTTCAATCTCCACAGAATGCAATGGGGTTTTCCTGAACAATCCAGACCCATTGTACCAGATGGTACCGTATGGAAGTAACACTGATCCTTTGACTCTGTTGATTTCTAATTAGGTTTCTAGTAATTAATATTGTTTGCAGGCCTTGCATGAACTCTGCAGATTACCCATTCATGTGAATGATTAACTGAAAGGGGATTAATCCTGGCATAAGTTCAACTAAAAATTATTTTCTAGCCCTGAAAATCTTCGCTGACAGGCTAGTAGATTTTAATAGGGAGTGAGACGTTGATATTTGTGTAGTTCCATTTCACAAAGAGGAACTTGACAGAAGAGTATTAAAAATACAAGCATGGTAGATATAAAGCATTTGTTCACCATTCTCAGACACAGGGTTTGAATTTTGGGTGGTCCTGTGTGGAGTCGAGTGTTGGACTTTGTGATCCTTGTGGGTCCCTTCTGGGATGTTCTGTGATTCTGTGGTAGCATAAAAGTACAAAGAAATGTCACCCATGAAAAGTCTCACTGAGTTTAGGGAAACTGTTGTAAGGTTTCTCAGAGGAATGTGCTTTTCTGAACCCAAGGTTTTTGCTGGTTTAGCACGTTATCTGTGCCTTTTCAAACTTCTCCTGTGACCAGTCTATGGTTGGACCTAAATACCAAGAAGATCAGCTGTGGTTTTCGTAGCACATTGAAATCTGTTTTAAACAGCTGCTGTGTGTCTGGTATGTTAGACTGTCAAACACTCATTTTACAGGAAATGATGTGGATTCTCACAGGTCCTTTGGACCAAACTTAGTCCTCAGCCATGCACACTGTGGGGAAGTCTGGAAGGCGTTTGGTCCAGGGAGTTGTCAGTGCTGCACAGTGTTTCTGAGTCTGTGAGCCTATAAGCAATGCCAATAAGCATTTTTCCATTCCCAGCAATTTTTTAGCCCATGCAAATGCCTGCTGCACCTAGGCAGCCTGCAGCAGATTGAGCCAAGCAATCTGAAAAGCTACTGCAGACATTGACATTCATGCAGGAGGTGGGAATGGAAGCAGAGATGCATGCTAGGGAAAGGGGGAAGGAATAACATCATGTTGACTCAGTCTCCTCATTCAGAAAGGAGAATGCTGGCTGCACTTAGGGATGAGCAAAGCTGAGAAAGGGAACATGGGTAGAAGTAAACAAGGGTGTGCTACTGTGTGTTATAGAGCTCAGAATGTTGAACATCCTTAGCAGATAAATATCCAAAATCGTTATATTCTATATAAATACTGGGCCAAGGGTCTCTTTGATATAACTGCAGTCATTGACTATAGCAATTTTGCTTTATTATTTCATCCAGATGCTTGGGGTACTAATTTTACTTGATGGATAATAAGGGCCATCAAATACAGAGTTGCTACTTTGCTTGGGTTTCATTGAAAGATGCACTCCTAAAAGGAGAGGAAATCCCCAAAATGATACTCAGTGATTAAGTACATAGAATATAGGATTTCAGTGTTTGCAAATCCTTTTTTTCAAATGAACTTGTGGCACTAATCCTCTAATGGCATTATTTCTTTGGAATATATGCCGGATTAAGGAGTCACAATGAGGCAAAGTACAAAAATCCACATTAATCTCTCACCAGTGGATGCTGTGTGGGATGCAACTTTAACTGTGTTTTTCCAGACCTGGTCTGTTCCTATCCTTGCCCCAGGTCTACACAGAGGGAGGAACAGATATAAACAAATGTGACACTGAGCGCTCAGCAGATGGTCACAAGCCATTTAACTCGATGGAAAGGCGTGGGCATTTATTATCTTTAAACTGCAGAAGCTAAGCCTACCCTATGCTGTCTGTGGTGAACTGCAGGAAGTAGATGTACAGCTCTGTGAGGCAGGAGCAGGGCAATGTTCACCAGTGTGCAGGGAGAGAACAGCACTGCCCTGCCTACCAGCTAATGATTCCCACCATTCTGTATTGCACATGCAGGGCACAGCCTGGGCCACTGCAGAATTACATCCGTGCGTTCAGCCCTTGCTCTGGTCGTCCTGCTTTGCTTTAGGATAACCTTGCTGTCCCCTCATCCTGCATTGCTTGCTTTCTAGGAAGAAGAAATTAGGTCGCTGTGAAAATACAGTTCCCTTCTCACCGGATTACAGGGATGCTGTCATGGTGCCGTGAGGTATTTTTACTCTCATTCAATGGCCTGAAGTGGTGATAGAATTTCTGAATGGTCAATGCATCACTTAATGCACTGATGTCAGAGCACTGAAGCTAGCCAAGCCTAACCACTGTAATCAGTGCTTAACGTGCTTAAGGATTTCCCCAGTTCCAGGGATCGGAGATTATCAGATATTCCCTCCCATTCCACCTTCCCATCGAAGCACGGTGGGCACGGAGCCCTGAGCCCAGCAGAGCCTGGCACATGGGCACAGATGCGGGTTGCCTTGTGGCTGTTTCATGCCTGGGCACTCTTGTTAAGCATGACATTGAAAGTGGATGAAAGCTGTCGAGTTCAATGCGTTCCTTACTGACAGGATTGCTTTGGGTTCTCAGCTGTGTGACTGAGACACCCAGGTAGGGGTGTAGGACTCACATAAGTGCCCTTTCCCTGTGGATACAGAGGTTGGGTCAGGACAGCCACCCCTGGGCTCAGGAGGCATTACAACCAGCTTGGAGATCCCTGCTGTTTGGGAACAGTTACGTGCCATTCATTCTTGCAGGTAAACACTGCCCATGACAGCAATTTTTGTGCATTTTTTCCTTCTGAACATCTTTCTGTGTAGTATTTCTCATGGGTGGGAGGATTTCCCTGCTGTTCATTTGAAGTTTTCTTCTCCTGATCTTATGCTATTGACTCCCAGCATCACACTGTGCCGCACTCAGCCCTGTCTTAATCATCTGTATGTTGACACACTGAGTCAGGGCTGTCCTCAGCCAGTGTCTGCCCTGCTTGCACAGCAGTTACTTTTATTGACCATCTTTATAACTCCCCACCAAAAGCACTCCAGCTTGCATATGTCTGTAGTGTATACATAGCAGTGAGAGGTCCATGTGTAAACGGTACTGGAACAGGTACAGGTGAAGGTGAGCAGGAAACGATGAGGAAAACTGATCTGGCACATGAGGGGAGACAAGAAGTGTTGGGTTGATGTAGGCTGTGGGGGTGACAGCATCACAGATATCGGCCAGGAGCATCGAAGCTAGAAAATGTAACTCTCACTGTCATGGAAATCAGATTCACAAACACACAAATATGGGGTAGCTTGGTTTATGCACCTGATGTGCTGTGATGTCGTACTGTGCTATCATGCTGTTGCCCACAAGCAGACTGTGGTGGGTGGCACAGCAGGACCTCTCCTCTCCCACATGCTGTGCCATGAAGTGCCCAGCAGTGAGCTGCCCCTCTGTGTTCCCTTCCATCTCCAAACTGCGACGCCCACTGACACCTGCCTTTGCTCAGCCTCCACCAACACTCCTGACAAGTATGGACAAAAGGGGTGGGAAAACAAAGAGCTTTTCTTCAGGTGCTGCTGTAACCCGACCTGCGAGGTGACTCAGCTGGCAGCAGCTGTGCGGGACGTGGGGCGGTCAGGGCGCAGCTCTCAGCCTGCACTGCCACTTCCTCCTTTCTGCATTGCCAGGTTGCTCGGCTGCGGCACCAGCAGAGAGCACGCAAGTGGATACTCAGCTCTCCCCCTGGAATAGCGAGGCTGGGGCAGCAGAGCAGCAGGAAGGACCCGCAGAGCTGTTGTGCAGAGCTGTCGCTGTCAGGCTGGCGAAGAGGGAACACTCAAAAGAAAAGCATCGGGAGTGTCCTGATAGGTACAAGTGAGGTTTTGTTCACGTGCCATGGCTCGCTTCTGCCAGCCCTGAAAGTGCTGTAAAAGGTGAAACAAACCCACAGGTGTACTGATGGAAAAGACAGGTATGGCTTTTTGTCTGTTTCAAATAATGCAGTTTTACAGCAAGAAAAGCAACCAGGGTAACGAGCATTGCTTTACAGCTCAATAAATGTGCACTCACATCTCTGTGCACTGCTTTGTACAATTTCTGTACTTTACACGTGAGCAATACAGCTGCAACAGGCTAACAGGAGCAAGATTTAAAAGAATGCATCAGCTTTTTTCAAGTGCTCTGCCCTTGAACACTTGTATCATAGCAGGAGAAAAAGCCTACATGCGTATTGTCGATACTGGTGACATTGTGTGTAACAGTTATTAAAGTGATCAAGGTTGTGTGCTCTGCTGGGGACGCTGGGTTGTGCAAAGAGTTCTGTGAGCAGATCTCTGCTGGGGAAAGGGGTCACAGCAGCTTCAAAGTCAGCAAATGATGATACAGCAAGTGTGGTATAAAGAAAGAAGGAAAGAATGCATATGAATTGTTACAAAGCCAAACTTCAATTTACCTGTCAATTAGTCATTGAGACTAAGGTCATCATAGCACTGAACTCTCCAAACAAGCTGACTGGGATCCTTGTTTTTTCCAGCATTGGTGCACTCACAGGAGTCCTTGTAGTCCCTATTGCACACCTCACCTTCCTGACAGCCAGACTAGGCTTTGGCATGGGTCACTTGGGTGCCAAACTTACCTGACAGAGGAATCTTTAATTTGGCCATAGGGAATGCAGCAGCTTCAGCCCTGGGTCTCCCAGTAGCCAGGTGGGGTAGCCTTGAGAGCAGTCTGTGTTAACAAAGCAGCAGAAAGTGAATCTTGGACCATGTCACAGTGAGTCTGCTGTGTGGATACTGAGCATTACCAGGTCCTTCCAAAGGAGGAGATAAGAGCTCAGAGACTAGTTCACTAAACAGTGACACTGATATTGGCGTGGAGGGAATGGTAGGAAATGGTCAGTGCATCTGCTGTTATGAAAGAGGGTGTGCAAGAGTGTTGCTAAAGATAATTCCTTCTATGTCTGCTGATCTGCTGAAAGGAGACACACAGAGTTGCCAGAACAAGAGTGAGGAAGACATCCCAAAGAGTTCCCCATTTGGCTTTGTTATAAAACAATTCCAAGGGAAGAGATCCTCTTCTGGAAAGAGAAAAGAGCAGCCTTCAGCCATCCAGAAGTTCTTCAGTGGCTTTGACTTTGGGAAATCAGAAGGCAAGGCAAGACAAGAAATTGAAGAAACAGAAATAAACAACTGTAGAGCTGATGATCAGAGTGAGAAGGAAAATCTCTCAGTAGAAGGTAATGCTGATACAATGAACAAATCCATGTGGATGCATTTTAATTTCATTTGCTTTTCTTACTGGACAGAAAGTTATGTTTTACTGCCTGCAATATATCCTTTAGCCAGAATTTGCTTCTGATTGAAACACTATTGAGGATGTGCCCTCTAGCATGATAGGTGCTGAGCAAGGAGTGGGGTCTGTGCTGCCGAGGAGGCATAAAGCTTTTGTGTGACCTCCCTCTTGATCTCCAGTGTGAGAGGTCAGTGCTGGAGGCAGCTTATTAGTTGCAGAGCTTATTTGGTTTCAAAGCCAAGCTTTGAGCAGTAGCTTGGCTTCTTGTATTTAAGATTGGTCTCTGCCCACCCTGCTGCTAAAGCAATCTGAAGGCAGCCAGAGCAGATGTTTCCTACCCCTTGACACCTGTGAGGGGGAGGGCATGGAAATTGATTGTGAATGTTATTTTGTTCATACAAGAGCACTCTCTACACACCAGAGAAAATGAGGCTATTCTTACAAAGGTGTTGGAAGGTGAGGTTTAGAACCCCACTCTCTGATCTAAGACTTCTGGGAAAACAAGGAGAGGACAGCTACTGTGAGTGGGATTACTGTTCTGTGTACCTTTTGGTGTTGGGTTGTTTTTTTCCTTTTCATTTACGGACATTAGATGAAACTGCTGATTTATTAAAGGGTTTAGTGAATAATACAAATGAAACTTTCCTTGCTGTACAAACTGCATGGAGGAAGAAGGTAAGAAAAGCAGGAAGCACATTGCACAGACAATGTATGAAGTGAACACAGGCTGTCATAAAGCAGGAGACAATCACCACACGATTGCAGGGCCGCTCTGTTCTGACTGATTCAGTACAGGCTGTACTGCAGCCGTGTGGCACAGGGGCACACAGAGGTGGTTGAATGACTTGTGTATCCAGAGCAACTGCAGTCTGGAGTTTTGCAAGAATTTCACGTGCTTGAACGAGTAGTGCAAACATCCTGAGCCACTGGCATAGGGCAGCGTGGAGACGTGAAAAAGATTCTTTTCACATTGAGCATCAGGAGCTTTGTACTGATCTGACCTATCTTATCACTCAGGTTGTTGGTCCATGCTGATCGAAATTAGAGGCTGGTTTACTGGCAGCTTTAGTTTATTTCCTAAAGTCTCCACCTGGTGCTCTGGGTTGGTTGCATTGGTAACCAGGGCTGTGTTTCTCTGTTACTCAGATGAATCTTCACAGCTGATTTCTGAAGCAGAGTCACCATCTGGTGAGCAGAGATTGAACCAGTTCATGCAGAAACTGGGAAAGAAACCCAACAGCAAGAACCTGGATCTCAATAATTGTGCATTAAGTGCAGCAGATGTAACAGAGCTGGGTAAATATGTATTTTATTCAGCTAGACACTTTGTGTATTTCTTTGATTCTGATTTTCCTATTCAGCTGTTCACTCCTTTCCTTTCCCTTTCTTTTATCTCAGGCTTTATTTAAGATTTCATTTGGTGGTCCCAGGTCCCTGAGGAACATTAATAAATAAATTGTATTAATTATGTAATATTTAGAAATATTAAAACCATGCAAGACTGTGCAGCAGGAGAATACCTTCGTTCTCAGGCTGCAGATAAGAAAGCTGAGATACAGATTGTCATGATTTTCTAATGTTTTAGAAAGCAGTATCAAGATGTGTGGACATCCAGGGTTTGCACATGATGTACAAACAGTACTTTTTTTTTCTTTTTTCCTTAGCTTCTTTACTGCCATTTCTGCCAGAGCTGGAAGAGATCAGCCTGTCCTGGAATGGTTGTGTTGGAGGGACTTTGAAAACCCTCACTGCTCAGTTCCATCATGTGAACCTGCTAAAAGTCCTTCGACTTAACAGCTGCAGGCTGTCAGCTGAGGATATCACCTCTTTAGGTACAGGCATTTATGTTTGCTTTCAGACAGCTTGGGTGTAATGTAATCCATCTTGTCTCTTCCTGCATCCTATCCCTGCTGCTTCCACACTGGGCAATATCAAGGCCCACTGCAAAACACTGGGAAGAACTTGGGGTTGTGAGTGACCTGGTACATTTGAATAGCTGTACTGAGCTCAAAGCTCAGGGCACAGAGCTTTTGTATTCAGAAGGCAACAGAATTCAGTCCCATTTGCAGAAGAACATGTTTCCCATCTGGATTAGGATTTTTTTTGCTGTCTTTAATATCTGATGGTAGACAGCAAAAGTGAAAAAAGTTTTCAGTGATCATAGGGTCAGTTTAGGACTTTGTGCTGCAGGACAGATGCAGTGCTTGTCACAGAATATTTGTTGGTCTTTTGGAGGAGTCTTAAAACCAGCAGTGCTGTCTTAGCGCTTCATAACTTGTTTTTGTAAGTTTGGAATAAGCTTATTCCTCTGCTTACTTCTTTGCTTGGAGTGCTTGCAGCCCTGCTTTGTGCAGAGCACGGATTTAAAGGTTTTGAAGTTGGTGCTGTGCACACAGCTCCTGATGCTGAGTCACCTCTGGGCCTGGAATTTACTGGTGGGGTGGGCCTGTGATACGTGTCTGAAAGAAGGGCAAACTCAACCAACTGCGCTGTTCTGTAAGGTCACTGCTCATTTTGCAAGTTCTAAAAACTGGTCTGGGTTAAAAGCTTTCTTGTTCCCTATCATTCGAATCCTTTTTTTCTTTTTTCAGGAAATGATCAGACATAACACGTATGCTAGTAGCTCAAAAGTAGGTGATGCTATCTGTTGGGGAAAAAAAAACATTTTTGTATTATAAATCTTCTGTGAAGTATTAGTTAAGAAAACATAGAGACATGAAAAATTATTATTTAAATACAATTAACGGTTTCTGGGTTAATTATGAGACTTTGGATCAAGTACTGTAAGCTGCATTTGCATATTGGCTGATTAAGTTATTTATTTCAAAATACACATCTGCCTCATCCCTCTGCAGAGGAATTTAGGAAGTTGGATTTTGCAGTGGGACATTAATGTTAGAAAGCAGCACTAACACAGTTCCAATTGGCTGCTGTGTCAGGCCTGGAAAAGGCCAGTTTTTGAGAATACAATAAGAATCAGTGCTGTCTGCCTTGAAATCTTGGGAAGCTGGTTTGTTTCAAAGTGATGCTTCCCTTGATTCCTTATGAAGTGAGCTGAAAAATCCTGCTGGAAACAAACCCCTGAGAAATAGCTGTGAGAAGACTTCTTTCAGCCCATCCCAGATGTCCTGTGGACACAGTGTTGAAGACACTGGAAGTAAATTACTGCCAAGTGAAAAAAGGCAGAACTGTACAGGACAGTAAATTCAGGCTTGTAACCTGTATTGATTTCCCTGTAGATGAGACTTTCTGGGCCATGGCACAGGTCTGCAGTGTTGGTCATGCAGTCTGATGAGTGTTTGGGAACCTGGATAAATACCAGGTCTGTGTGCATTGTGATGATAACTTGTGTTCTGTTTTGCTCCTTGGACAAAGTGAGGATTTATACAGCGTGGCTGCACTGGAATGCCATACACCAATTTACCTATCAAATAACCCAAATTACAGTTTGAGAAGCAAGTGGGTAACTTTTCTCTATGTATTCAAGGCTGTATTTTTATTTTCCACTGAAATAGATATCTAGAATGAATCATCTTGGACTTCTGTTACAGGAGAGGCATTTGAAATTGTTCCTCAGCTTGAAGAACTGGATTTATCATGGAACAGCAACATAGGTGGCAAACTATCACTCCTGACAAAAAAACTTCGGAAGGGATGCAAGATTAAACTCCTGAAAATTACAGATTGTAACCTGACAGCCAGAGATGGAGAATCCCTCGGTGTGTGCATCCACATAGCTGGACTGAAAGACTGGCTTCACAGAGATGTAACTCAGTTGAGTTAGATGATGGCTGGTTGGAGGTCCATCTTAGTAGAAAGCTATTCATTTCAAGCTTTGTGTTATAGCAGTATTTACCAGACAGTAAAAAAAGGCCTGAGGGATAGGAATTTGAGTTGGCATCCAGTTGCCACCTCTCCCCTCTTTCTTCTTATCATATCTTAATCTTATGTGGTCTTTTGATCTGATGGAGTTTCTTAAAAGATTCTCTCCCTCAAGAGAAGTGCCTGTGCTCTGTTCTGATCTTTACTGTGGGAGATGGCTCCCATGCCACATACAGTCCTTTATCTTCTCATTAGAAATTTTTCTTTCTCTTTGTATTCCTGCTTTTTATTCTCCTGCATTTTTCTTACTGTCTTCTATTTTTTTTTTTTTTTTTTTCAGATTTCTTTTTCTATATGGGTTTTGACTGATTTTTTTGATTTCTATCTGATCAATGTTTTGCTGTATTTTTGGTAGAATAGGAACCTGGAAAGTTTAAATCACATGTATAGGCAGATCCAGCCTGCCTTTTCCTGTTTGTCATCGTGCTGTTCTTTTCTAGGGCTCATCTGTATGTTCCAGACAATTACCAATTCTAGTTTTCTTTTTTTTCTTGCCAGCTGAAATACTAAATGTGCTCCCAAACCTTGAAGTATTAGATCTCTCTATCAACAAACACATTGGCTGCAGCATGAAGGTCATTGCTCAGGATCTGAGAAATGTACCAGGCCTCAAGGAGTTGAACTTGCACATGTGTGGATTAAAGCAGGACAGCCTCCAGGGCTTAGGTTAGACTTTAGACTCAGAAAGTCTTTCGTTCTGCATGAACTGTACATCTGAAACCCATTTCAGAAAGGCAGCGCGGTAGACTTTTGCTGATGGTCTGTCAGTATCAATGGACGATGGTTATTTGCTGCTTGAGGATTGATAAAAGACTACAGAGACTTTCTGCAGGAGTAGCATTTATCTTCCCCGAGTTCAAGCATGTGAAAGTCAGTGGGGAGAGTCACCTTCCACACCATTTATCTGAGACACATCTTAGGGTAGATTAATGGCTCTCTGGACGCGCTTCCTCCCTCTGCAGACAGAACATAGACAAGGGCACAGACAGTCTAGCTAACTTCTGAAGACTTAATCCTACTTTCAGAGGGGAATCCGAACCTGCCATTATCACTTAATGACTGTCCGGTGAAGCCATACGAAATGGGCTTATTATCTGTGCCTCTCCCTCCTGGAGGTCTTATCTGTAAGACAAAACAACTGGCACTAATTAGCACTTCCAATAGCCTTTTCAGCAAAAAGCTGAGGATTGAATGGATCTGGAGATGAATTAACCTCACCTTCACCTGCTCTTTTAGAGAAGAATGGAGTAGCGTGGGTGCAGAAGCTTTGCAGTGTTACTGTGTCTGCTGTGATTATATGCTGAAGCTTAGTCTAAAAGCTTTGCCTTCGATACTTTGTGCAGAATCTGACATTAAAGTAAATGAATGTTGAAGCTGTGACCCGTGCTATTGTAGTAGTCAGTGACCAGCCTGCTGTCGTTTCCTTTTCAGACACTGCTTTACAGCACCTTACAGCACTGAGAAAATTAGACATATCGTGTAACAAAGAGATTGGTGGTGGCTTTAAAGACTCAGCAGCTCATTTGGCCAGCTTGAAAAATCTCGAAGTCCTTGACCTCCACCAGTGCTGTGTAACAGAAGAAGACGTGACCGTTTTGTGTAAGGATGTCTTGAGGAAATGATTTAAGAACGTATGGTTTTGACTTCTGAAAATACTTCAAAGGCATAAGAGATTCTGTGTAACACAGTCTAGCAGATCTCAGTTCATTTTTTGTGAGGCAGCTCTGGAGGTGCAGCTCAGGGGATAGCTTCCTTGCTCAGTGTGGAGTGGGGGTTTTTTTCTGTATCAAAAGAAGTCCCACAGTGGCCGATCCCATGCGGAACTAAGGGCTTCAAACTGCCATGATTCAGACCCATGATGTGAAGGTAGGAACCACCCCCAAATCCTGTTGCTGAGGATCAGTAATTTGGGAAATGTCCAAGCAGTCTCACTGCTGGTATTGGCATGGATCCGAGGCTTTTATGTGCATGCTAATACAACTGCCTAAAATTACCTCAGTGAGCTCAGAAGTGGAGAATGATGTTGGTCTCTAACTCCTAAGTACTGTTAGGAAGGAAAACACTTCTCCCATTCAATCAGTGGGACAGCTTATTTATTGTGTGCATTATCATAACTTTTTGATATTATTGATAAAAAGCTTTTACTTTTTAGAACAGCAAAAAATCACGGCTCAGAATCTATACTGTCTAAATCTTATTTGCCACTGTGAAGAAGGCGATTTGAAAAGCTGCTGATGAAGTACTGGGAATCATTATTATTAAAATCAATTGTTATTTTTAATATTTCTTCTGCACATACTAAAATCAATAGAGAACAATCACATTAATACAAAGTGGCTGAGGTTAGCAGTGAAGACTTTTAGAAATAATCCTCCCTCTCATTTAATATTCAATTCCCAACTTCACCTGGAAAATGCTGGCAGGAAACTGTGTCCTGACAACCTTCCACACAGCATCTAATGATACCTAATTTCTTAAGCATTCCTACAGAAAATGACAAGCAAGAATTACTCAAAGTATGTTTGAGTATCAAAACTTGGCCTTGACTTCTGGGTTGATTTCTAAAGACAAGTAGTGATGTCAGTCAAATATACAAGTTCTGTATCAGTGACTCATAAACACTTCATGTCTTCAAAGCCCAGGTGATACCTTTACTCTCCAGTCTTCAAGAGCTGAATTTATCCTGGAATAAAAACATAGGAGTCTCATCTGATCCTCTTCTCGGCAGACTCAGATTTTTACCGAAGTTGAGATCTGTGGCCATCAGCAATTGTGGATTAGGCAAGGAGTCCTTTTCATCACTGGGTAGGAATGCTTTTTTAAAGTGTGTCTATTCTCAGGGACTCCCTGTGGGACCAAACACTTCATTCTCTGTTGGCTAAACTCCAAAAACAATGGTTACATTACAGTGCAGGTCCTGAGTGGAAAAGTAATCGTCGCTTTCTCCTCTGGTTTTGCCTTACGAGGAAGCCAGTGTTTCATGGGACCTGGTTGCAAGGGAAGATCGTTGTATGTCTTCCCGTTTCACCTGACTGAATGAAGTGCTTTTAGTCCTTTATCTGTTAGTGAGCTTTCATGTACTTCTTATTATTGGAAGAGAAGGCAGCAGAACAAGACTCATATTATGCTAGAATTGCAGTTTTACTGTAAATCTGCATTTGCAGTTTATTAAGGTCAAGATTTAAGGGGTTTTTTTTGCTCTCACTACAGATAAAGTAGCAACTTTCTAACTTACAGTGAAGTGTGGGGCAATGGAGGAGCTGTGAAAATGACTGCAGTAGTGGAAAAGATACTGCACAGCCAATGAAGAAAAGCCCAGTCTAACACAGGATATGTAAATGCAACCTCTTTTGCTTACTTATTGCAAATCTCAGTGGATTAGTGGCTGCACTGTTCCTTTGATAGGAGTTTCATATGGCACACAAAACCTACTACAGAGGGATCTGTTAGAATGCATTGTGCATTTGCTGTACGTTTGATACCCTTTATTAGTGGCACTAAACCCTCAGTGAAACTGGGCTGCCTTTAGCAGAAGCAGCATCAAGCTGAACTGATCTGAGGTCCCTGCAGAAAGAGTACCATGTTTATGTCATTCCAATTATGGAAGAATGGCACATGGAAATCAGTGCTGTCAAAGATACACTGCATTTCGCCTTGAATGGCCAATTCACTGCCAAAAATTTCTGGGTTTCGGTGAATTCAAAATGTTTTTGAAGTGTTCTGTTGTATTAAATTGACTTCAATGGAACAAGGTTAAGTCTATAATGCAAACAGAAAGGAAAGAAAGCTCTTCTGAGATTCCTTGAAGAGTCTGTAGACAGGCCCTTGTTACACTGTTTAATGAATGCAGGAGAGACTTTTTTGTGTGTGTCTGACTTTTATTAGGACAAAATAAGTCATTTTAAGCATAGATAGGCAGCCTGTCAGAAGCCTATTGGCAGGTGACTTGCTGGTGAGGTGTCTGTTGAGGCCACGCTGTTTTCTCTTAGTAAGCAGAAGTTGCTGATCTTAATCTTTTCAGCTGAGGCTGCCCTTCACCTTCCTGAACTGGAGATATTAGACCTTTCTTGGAATAAGTGCGTTGGTGGAAACCTAAAGCTGCTTTTGGGAGCACTAAAGCTTGCAACGGAGATTCAAGTGTTAAGACTGAGCAGCTGTAACTTGGTGGCTGAAGATTTGGCGCTTCTAAGTACGTATAACATGGCATTTACAAGCAGTCAAGGAGCCAGTGCACACAGACCACAGTTCAGAAGGGACTTGTTCCATGTGCTGAGCACGTTTTTGGACAAATCAAGTGAAAAGATGGAAAATACAGCACTGTTTTTCCCGGAAAGTATTTTCATTTTGCTGAAAGCTCTGTGTCCCAAACATGCACAGTGCAGAGACTGAAATGGATAAAAATGCAAAGAATCATCTTAGCAGTCTTACGTGTTAATACAAAAATGCAGCATATGGAAAAAATGTATGGTTCAACCCTGTTTTTTATATCACGTTTTTCAACCTGCCTCTGAGGAGTTCTGTTTTGCTCAGTTACTCTTTTTGGGTCAGTGATTGATGAGAAATGCTGTCAGCCAGTAAGGCAGGCACTACCAGCTCTCAGTCCGTTAGGTGTGTTTCTGGAGTCCAGCTGTGGTGGGAGAATTAAAATGGAAATATTTTAGCCCACTTCTCAGCAGCTGCTAAAAACACTGGAAGATGGGAACCCAATGAAGGAATGAATTTCAGAACTGTTTCGAAAACCTGTTTATTTTAAAGGCATCCTTATGATTCTGTGGGCCTGACTCGTGGGTTTTGAGTGTCTGCCGTTGGCAATAGCTGTGTGATTGCTATCAAGGCCCTGTAACCTGGAGGCTGGTGAGAAAAAGCCTGAATATTTTTGACTTTACAAACATCACCCTTGACAGGTGGCTCTTTTGTTGAATATCCATTAAGGATCTCAGCTACCTTTAGGGTATATTAGGCCCATTACCTTCCCACAGTGAGAGGTGGCTGTTGTAATCATGCAAACTCACCGAGTTTTGCTGTTCTCCTAAATCTCCCTATAAAGCCTGCCTGTCTATTTTAATTGGCACCTGTCATATCCTCCAACTGACTTCAAGGTCTTCGGGTTGCCGTACAGTTTTATGTTTGAGTCCTGCTGTTTGACTGCCTAAAGACTCTAAATAACATGGTATTAAAATACTCATCTTACTTACAAGCTTTTAAAGCAATTGCCAGGGTGTATTGATTATGTTTGTTATTTCTTGCAGCATTACTGTCACACGATGGCCACCTCGCCAGGTTACAGAAGCTGGATTTGAGTTACAATAACACCATCTCTGATGAAGGGTGGATGGTTTTCTGTCAAGGCTTAACAGTATTCAAAGAACTCTCAGAGCTGGATGTCAGTCTTCGTCCATCATCCTGCCGTGCCTGTGGGACGTGGTTCAGTGAGTTGTTAGCAGCACTGACAAAGCTGCCTGCATTGGCAGAGCTGGGCATGCAAAGATGGGTCCTTTCAGAATCGCAGCGTAAACAGCTGGAAGGCTTTAATCGAGACAACAAAAGAAACATTCGTTTTGACTGTTGATGGAGGTTGGAGGTTTCTGGAAAGCCTTTCACAAGCAACATATGAACTAAGTATTGTGTGTCTCTCACTTAGAAAACTGCTTGAAATAGTTCCAAATTTATATAAAAAACAGTTATTCAACTTCCTACACACGTGGATTATTCCCCTCGATAACATATTCTTTCAGATTCTCTGGGCCATGCTTACTCTGCTATTGTGACACTACTGAATGTGCTTAAGTTGTGAATACTGCAGTGACTGATACCAAAGGAGCAATGACAGTGTCAGATAGACACGTGGCAGGTTTGCCAGTGGAAGGAAATGAGTGGAGTGTGCACTAATGCAGATGGATGGGCAGTGTAATTGCACATACAAGGAAGATGTTTCTAATGCAAAAATATCTGAAACTCTGTGTTTTAAAATTTTGTTCCCCGTCCCCCATACATTTTAATTTTTGTGAATGCATTAAAGCTACATAATTGTGAGATTTGGAAAGCATCCCAGCAGCTCAGGAGTGTATGTCAGTCCAGTAAGAAGAAAACAGCAGGAGTTGTTCTGCCTCTGCTATGGCTCTCAATGCCATCTGATAGCATAGATGAATCCTGCATACAGAATCAGCATAAAATCAAGGTAAGAAACATTTGGTTGGTGTCTTTGCAAGCCTCAGGCAAGGGAAATACTGCAGTGGGGTAGATCAGGAAAGTCCTGCTATCTTAGCAACAATCTGAATCTTTCTGCATTCAAGACTAATCTGTTAGCTTTTAAAACACTTTGTGGCATAAGCTGTTCTTATTCTTATCCTAAATGTGGAGGAAATCTATCCAGGGGAGCAAAAGCTGTTATTAAAAGCCGCAGGGCAGCTTCTAGCTAGAAGCAGACCACCCTGCTTTGCACCCAAAATGTTAGAAAATGTTCCCGCTTGGGTCATATAAGTGGCTCTTCTTTTTACATTTTGATGATTTCTTATTAGATTTGCTTGCACAGAACCATATTCTGGCATACTCGTTTATGTCATGGAACATCTTAACCCACGTGAGCTCAGAGACTGCACTGGGATTATTCATTCGTAAGGTATTTTAGGAAGTAAAGATATTAGATCTGCCCACTGAGTGAGGAGTCTTAGAGAAATCCTGAGGGATAAAGTACTGCTCAATTAGCCCTGAGTTTGTCTTCACTCTGCAGCAATCTCCTGGATGTGAGGCACAAGAGAATCATCAGCTGGCACTTTCCTTGCTTGCCCAGATCCCTTCAGCATGTTATCCCATACTCAGCCTTCAATCTGGGTAACACCTCTAACACAACTTCTGACTGGCTCTGAGTTTATCAGTAGCAGCTAACCACATTGTGCTGGTGCCTCTCCATTGTTTAATCCATGATTTCATGAGGGTCTCCCCGGGCTTCCTGGTTTCAGTTTCAGTTCCACTGAAAAGTGCACTTGGATCCCACAAGCTCTGAGGAAAGCGAGATCAACCAGAGTGTCGTGGTCAGAGGTAGCAGTGAACTGCTGCAAAGTGGGATTGGTTATTTTGTGCAGATTTCCTCAACCCCTGAAGAGAAGCAAAGAGCCCCTGTTTCGTACAGAGCTAACAAAGGAGCCTTTCAAACTGTTATTCAAGGCAGCAGAGTTATTTTAATGTGGAAACACTATCACCTCTGTTTCACAGCAGCTCACCAACCTTCTCTTTCAATCACTTGTCTTAATGGGACTTTCCTTCTCCAATTTGCCTTTGCTCCATCTGGAGAAACGATCCTTTGTCTGTTCTATGGGGATCTCTGTGAATCACTCCTCTCTCACTTGAACCTCTCTAATTCAGACTGAGGTGGACTTCACTCTCTTGGGCTCCTCTTTCTCATTTCCAGGGCACAGTAAGGATGTACTGTTTGCAATCTCTTCACTTGCTTTTTTATATTCCCTTCCCAGTCCTTTGCCCACTCATGAGTCTGTCATGCCTGTTCTGCCACAAAAGTCTTTTACTAAATTGTTTTGATTATCCTGTCTGTCAGTCTTCCCAGAAGTGCCCCTTCCAACATTTTCCTCCTTAGTTGCCTCTGCTGTCAAAGCAGCACCAGTTTCCTAGTGAGATGGAAAACCAAAAATGAGCAATCCCACCTTTCTGCACTTAATAGTCCCCAGTTCTCTCCTACCTAGAAGCTTATTAGTGACACTTCTGTAACAACAGACTCAAGAGCCAAACAGAAATAAGACCCTCGCCCTGGATGCAGATGTGGCTCAGAAGAACGTGACCTGGAGGTGGAGCTCTTGGGAGAGCTGAATCTCAGTGAGCCTGCCTTCACCTCCTTCCTCAGGGTGCCACCAGCTCCTCATTCTCTGGTAGAGCTCAGGCATGGGCAGGGAGAGCAGGTCAGAAGTTCTGCCAGTTTAAGTAGAGAGACCTGCTCCCTTGTGCATTTTGACTCTGCACAGCAGCTTGCCTAGTTTAGCTTTGTGCTTTGGGAGCATTGTGACCGTGTTCTTACATGGATCCAGAGCCATTGTGAAATGCTGCATTTTGCACACTCGCAGTTTTCAAGTAAACCTGTTGTACACAGACATCTTACAAACTGTAAGCTTGTAAGAGTAAGAGATGGGCTGTAGCACTAAGGATTTGACAGCTTGCAGTCATTCACAACACTGCAGCTACGGATTGTCAAAACGTTAGGGAACATTTTTGCAGAAGATGGAGATACTTGGAGGTACTTTGAAACAGCTCTTCACACTCCTGTAAGGCAGAAGTGTTGTGCAGGTGTGGGTATGTTCTGACTGCTGGGAATCCTCCTCCATGTTTCCAAACAAGATTTTGTTTATAAACATAAAAGACAGTAACTAAGTGCCAGTATGTATAAGGCTACAGGTATGGTTTATAGTCTAGATATGGACAAACCTCACCAACTGGAAAACAACTTTCTAAGGATTACATGTAAAATACTTGGAATTCATAACAACAGTTCATTGCACTTGATTCCTACAGATTAGATTAATTTCCAGTTAATCATCTGCCTCTGTGCTTCAAGATAACATCCATTCAGGATGAGAAATCCCAGACTGTTTCAGGATCTGCCTTATTCAGCTGAAGTAGCTGAAAGTTCAGAAACAGCCCTAAAAAAATCACCAGTTTTCATTAGAATTTCCACTGATGCGAATGCTTTAATGCTGTCTGTTTTGTACTCACTTCTCTCTTGCAGCTGGCAGGGTTCTGTTCAGCTTACTGCACAAGAATCACTTTTTGGCTTTTGCTTCTTTTCCAGACTTCTGTTTTTCTTTTCCTTTCTTTTCCTTTTTTTGGTCTGCCATGCTTTTAAATGCCAAGAAAGGTCTGATCCCCTTCTTTGTAATCAGCCCATGCCAAATATTTCGGATCTGAGAGAGAACATAGTCTGGTTACCTTGAGGAAATGGATAAAAGCCAGGCACGTTATGGCCTCCAAAACAACTCTGCATTAGAGTACATTGTTTGCAGCTTGTCCACTTGCCACCTGACTTTTCTTTTATCGTGTGTTACTTTTTCAAGAGGAATTCCTTATCAGGGAGGAGACCAACGCTGTCATCCTCCAGATCCTCTGAGGAGTAAATGGCAATGGCCTCGCATTTTTAAATGCCACCACTAAGTTTGGAAGAATAGTCTGGGAGAAACACATTAATTCATGAAGAAATAGCAGACACTGCAGGAGAGGGAGATTTTTAGTTTCAGAAGAATCAAGGACTGTTTGCCTTTCTTTCCTTGCCTCGTTTTTTTCTGAGCTAATTCAGTTCATGTTCTATTAGTGATGCAGACTGATCTTTTGGGAAAACAAAACAAAACAACCACAGCAGAATGTGATAACAAAATATGTTTTGTTCAGTGTGTCTGCACGCTAGAACTTCAATTCTCTACAGTCAGAACACAGCAAGGTGCCAGTTAGATTCATCTTCAAGCAGTGCCCAGACTTGTTGGACCTACTTTGAGTTTAGGCACGGTGACTATGCCCCTATCACTGGACGAAGCTGGTGGCTGATGTGTTGCAGAGTGCCCTGTATGTTGTTCTAAAGCATCTCTGATCACTAAAGGCACTGCTTTGTTGCATACATACGTACATCGTGGTTGCTTTAAAACACCTACCTTTGAAGCCTTGGCTTTTTTATGTCTTTTTTGCCATAAGTACTGGAGAATAGCAGATGTCCCCTGACTGCACACTTCAATGGGAGGGTCTGTCATAGGATTCCCATCCACAAGGACCTCCTGCAGCTGCTTTAGGCTATTCAAATCCTCAGGCAGCCTGGACAGCTGATTGTTCTGAAGGAGCAGTTTCTGCAAACCTGAGCACACAAAAGCAGACAGCTGCAATACAAAGGACAGGAATGATGCAAAGCACCCCTGCATTCTCCCTGTAGAACAGCATATGGAGGAGGCAATAAACAATTCAGTCTGTGCTTATTAGGAGTTTGAGTACTAAACATCTCATCAAGGGCGCTGGATAAAATTCAGAGTACCTCTCCCAAGTGTGGAGGGATGGGACTCAGTCTCTCCTAGCAAGGCACATCTTTACAGTTGAAGACTTCCAGTCTGGTGGCCAAATCTGCTATACTGTGCATGAGAGCACTGTTGAGCTTGCCATACATAGAGATGTATTGGAGAACAGGGGAAGATAGAAAGACTGAACTGGAGGACACAAAGCATGTTCCTCATCACTGCCCGCCAGGTCTTCTCCTGCCAGTGGTGTGCTAGGAGCTGAGCCCCAGGAATCTCCCCAGTCCTCTGAGCTTGGGCACAGCATTTCCTTCACCCTCTCACCACATGACTTCTCTCCTATTTGTCCCTTACTGATTGCTGGGCCAGCACCAAACAGTGTTCTGCCTTCTTTCTCTCCCTCCTTCCAGAAGAATTAGGTCCTTAGGGCTAACACAAAGATGATTTCTCACCTTGCATTTGGCCTAGAGACTCAGGGAGCTTCTTAAGGAGATTGTTGTGACAGTCGAGTATTCTCAGGCGGGTCAGTAAGCCAACAGCTGGGGGCAGGTGCTCCAGACAATTATTCTCTATATGCAGTTCTTTCAGATTCTGGAAAATATGTGTGTGTAATAACTTTTCATAATTAAAGGATTTTTCTTTAGCTGGCTATATTATCAATGTACGGATAATATCAGCAAGTGGAGAAATTGGCTTTAAAAGCTGAGGCATCGTTGGGATAACCGCCTGGTAGAAAGAGACAACCTAAGTTTTAAACACTGACTACTGATGTTCTTCCTGTTCTGTCAGACCTGGCCTGATGCTGCACCAGCCCTAAAAAAATAAGGAGAACCTCCAGTTCTGCATTTGGGAGCAGCTGAAGGGCCAAGCCACAGTACACACTCAGCCCCCACCTCCTCCTGTTGTCCCTACCTGCAGTTTGATGATATCTTCTGGCAGACTTGTCAGTTTAACTCCTTTATTTTGTCCCAGATATAATTTCTCTAATGACTCCACGAGAAAGATTTCCTTTGGAAAGTTGTTGAATTGATTTTTGGACAGGCTGAGGCATTTTAAATTTGTCAGTTCTTGTATTTCTGCTGGTATCTGGACACAATCATTAAAGATACATTATGTCAATTAAACAGTAATCGTAGGGATTTGTCTTTAGGGAAAAATCTCTAGGAAAAGCTATGGAGCTTCACAGTTAGTGATGGATGAGCAGAGAATGTTCTACTCATTAATATAACATTATATCTCACAGTGTGGTGGAAAGGTGGGGGGAAAAATCATATTGTTTCCTCTGCTGGAAAGATTTCTTATGTGGTTTATTCTTAGCAGAAATGTTTGTCTGCTTCTTCACTTCTGTTGTAAGCTCAGTGCAGGGGAGAGTCATTGAAATGAATCAAACCTGAAAGAGATTCTTCTGTGTGAATTACTGCTTGTCTAAAGGGGACCTTCACAAAGAAAATCGCACAAGTGAAAATCTCCTGGAGGGGGGGGAAGAGTTGCATTACTTAATAAGGGAGGTATAAGCCCTCAAATGAGTGTGTCATACTTTAAAGTACTTAACTGTTCATTATCAAGTAATTAGCAGATAGTAATGATTTTAAAGGCATTCACAATATGTCATCTATTTTAATGTTGCCCTCTGCTCTGTTTCAGTTTTTGATGCATTGGTTCTACAGAAACGCAGCTCTTATTTTCCAGCTTACACAGAAAGATGATGAAATAAAGCAGCCAACTCTGACAGCAGTTCCTCCAGTCAGTATTCATCTGTATGATTCAGCACAAAAGTAAGTGTCTCCATGCTCTTGCTTTCCCTCTCTGTCTCAGCTGTCAGTGTCACTGTTACCCAGGCTCAGTGCATGCCAGGAGTGCATCTTCACACTTGAGCAGAAGGCAGCTCTTGGTTGTAACGTAAGACTTTGCAAAAGGAAGGTCTCAGTGAAGTAAGAATGAAAAGATAGGAACAAATACCTCCTGTATTTGATTGTCATCCAGGTTCAATATCTCCAGGTTTTTCATGGAGCATATTCCTTTGGGAATTTCATCTAAGCAGTTTTCGCTCAGATCGAGTACCCTGACGCTGGTTAGGCTGGTGCAGGACAGGTGAACTCTGTGCAGCCCGGTGTTCCTCAGATAAACATGGGTAAGTGATGTCCAAGAGCATGTCTGGGCTGGCAGCTCCTCCAGGCTGTTATCAGACAGGCCAAGTTCACTCTTTTCAGTGAGATTGTTCCAAACTGGGGGAAGCTTGTGCAGGGGATTATGAGACAGATCCAGCACCGCCAGCTTCTGGCAGTGTTGCAGCGTGGGAGGAATGGAAGATAAGTTATTAAAAGCTAAAAATAGCTTAACTAAGTTTGTCAGAGAGCCTATCTCTTCTGGGATGTGACTGATGAGATTTTGTTCCAGATCTATTATTTCTAAACTAACAATTTTACAAAGCTCGATGGGAAATTTTTCAAATCTATTGTTTTTGAGGTAAATTTCCTTGAGTTTTTTCAGGTTCACTGTTTCTTTTGGCAGACACTGTAGATGATTGTCAGAAAGCCCAAGAAGTTCAATGAGATGGAGGTATTTGCAGATCTGCACTGGGATTTCATGCAAGTTTATTTGATAGAGCCTGAGCTGGTGAAGGGACTGCAGGTTGCTGATTACCTGCAGAGAGCTGTAAGAGAGGGGGTTGTTACTTAAATCTAAGCTCAGAATACTTTTCAACATCCCCAGCTCTTCACATATTTCCCGTATGTGATTGTGATCCAAGTAGAGAACCTTCATGCTCTTCAGGAGTTTTATTTCTCTCGGGATGTTCACTATCAGGTTCTTCTCCATGTGCAGCTCTTCCAGATGCTCTAGACTGAAGACCTCAGGTGGGATGATTTGCAGCTGCTTATTGGCTAAATCAATAAAAAAAATCCTATCTGTGGCGTGCTTGGGAATCAGAGCTTCATTCTCTGGTACTTCATTCATTGGTTTTTCTTGTGCAGTGATAACGTGCTTATCCTCAAAGCCAATGGGGTCATGTTTAGGGTGATGAGTGTCCTTTGCACTGAGCTCCATGCTGTGCTGAGACTCAGCCATCTGTAATTCTTATTTTTAAATTTCAGAAGAGAAAAAAAAAATAAAAATAAAAATCAACAGTAGTCAGACACTAAATAAATAGTGAAAGAAGTTAAGACTGAGGGACAGGTCCTACCTACTGTCAGTTGTATCCCTGCAAAAGCTGCTTACATTCCTTGATGTTGACATCTGCAATACGTACAAGTGTGACTGTGACTTTGAATCCAGAACCCCAAAATGCCAAATCAGAGGGTGGCCTTTGTGAAGTCAGTGGGGCTGAATGAAACAACTTCTGTGGGTCTTCATTTACAAAGATTCTTAGGAAAGGGGTCTTCTATAACAGGGACATACCAGAACCTGATATTCAATAGCCCTTTAATTGCAGAATGTGGACTGTAAAAGAGTGAGAGATGGAAAGGCCTGGCTGACCTCTGCTGTCTCTGGGAGTGAATGGTGGTAGCTTTGAGCTGATAGTGAAGGGAGTGGGGGCTGCAGTCAGGAGGAAGCTGCCAACCCCTGGGACCTCAGGGGTGACCAGAATGAGGGGAAAGAACCAAAGGTCAGGGAGGTGTGGGGAGAGCCACGCTAAGCTTTGTGGTCTCATTGGAGCTTTGTACAGCAGCGTTTCTTTTTTGTTCTTTCAGTGGTAAGGAGTGAGCATCCTGTGGGGCGATGGGAGCGTGCGATCCCAGCTCAGCCTTGGATCATGTGGGAGTTAGGGGGAGGATCTGAGTGGAAAGTGCACTTCTGAAGCACACAACCCTGTAAACACACTGATTTGTGCCAAAGCTCCTCGGAGGGTGTGGGCAGAGCACTCAGTAAACAGTGCAAGGATAAGTGAGGCTGGTGTTAGCATGGAAGTGTGATGCCCTGCCCAGCACCAGGCTTCCCCTCCGAGGTGGGCAGCAGAGTGGCTCCTGATCTCTTGGGCACCCAGACCCTGCGTTGGACATCAGCTGTGTGGTAATGGGCTCAGCTCAGCAGTGTGGATGTATGTGGGGAGGGCATGGAGGAGTCGGGCTCTCTGGCGGTCTCATGTTGGCTGGTAAGCTCAGACACGGCTGCCTCAGGCAGAGCAGGGCAGGAGGGCAGTTTGCTGGGGGTCTTGCAGCACTCTGTGAGGCTGGGATTTGTCCCGAAGCTTCTTGCTGGGGCTTTCTCAAATAGCAGCATCACACACAGAACCGACTTTCATCACAGACCGCAGGACGCTGCCCTTTTTACAAAAGGGAAAGAGACCTGTCTTTATGAATACTACTTCTAGTTGTTCATGTTCTCTGTGATGCCACATCAGGGCCACGTTTTTTCCTTATTTTTTCCATCTGTATGTCCATAATTCAGTTATTCTGATAACTACAATTCTTTTCATAGCAGGACCCATTTTTACTGTTGCACACCCCCTGGCACAACAGAACTGGGTCCATGGCAACGTTGTTAGGCTGCCATGGCGATGCAGTAACTGTTTGCTTTGTTTTCAGGCACGTCATGTCAGTTCCTCCAGATCTTCATCAGCAGTATTTGCAGACTTGCCAAAACCTGAGCCAACCTGAAAATCACTTTGTTGCTCGTGTGCTTCAAGAAGCTGATAAAAGTGATAATATGTAAGAAAAGAACAATCAGCATGTTTCAGATACTTCTGAACTGCTTAAACAAGATGGTAGGACAAGAATTGGAGCAGTGGGAAAGTTTGTGGAGTTTCAGGCTTGAACACAAATTGCACTTAACATTTACTGCAGAAGTTCTGGTTTGACTCATCCTGACATCATCTTGGCAAGTCTGTAACTGTATATCCCTCCTGGGCAGCTTTACAAGCAATAAAATCAAAAAAGTGAAAAATGGGAAGAATGGTAACTTTACATCCCTTAGAGAAGCCCAACTGACTATTCAGCCATCCTAACTCCCTTCCTGATTTCTCGCTCCCGTTTAAAAAGGCTCAGCTGCATCCAGTTAGCTTCCAGCTGATAGTGCTTTCCTGAACTGTCTGTGAGTCCTGGCAAGGTGCTGACCACAAAAATTGCTTCTCCTTTTGTGATCAGATAGACCTTTCTCTCAGGGATGCACCTGGGGTTGGAGTTGATTGTTTTTTGGAGAGAGAACACAGGAGAAGACAAGGTTGGGCAGTAGTTTGGGTTAGCTGTTCTGCCTTTGGGGCAGGATAGAACAGATAAAGGAAAGAAGGAACAGATGAGGTTACCCCAGGATAGTCTTCTTTATTTTCATCTCTGCTTCTCTTGTCTTTCTGCTTCCTGCTCGCTGTGCACTTGTGGTCGTGTAGCTGTGCAGTATCTTCAGAGTAACAAGATGGATAACTGACCACGTGCAGGCACACTGGGGAGGGTGAATAGGAATGCATCTCTTAACCTGAAGAAAGAATTCTTTTTACTATTATTTTCCTTTTTATGTGGTTACACTTTTCTGTTACAGCAGACAGACAAAAGGGATCACGTTAAAAATAGCTGGAAATAATCGCTTAGTGCCTGTGCAGAGAGTGACAGATGAAGATGTTCAAGTTCTTGCCTCTGTCTTACGCCGTGCTGTATTTGTCACCGGTAAGTATCTTTACATGTCTGATGTCAGTGCTCATATTGTGCTGGTTTATCACCGGGCAGCAAATATCACACACAAAAAAATAAAATATAAAAGAAAACACAAGCAATCTCCATTTCAGTTTAGTTCATATTTATTTCTTTTTGTTTACAGAGAAGTTAAATGTAGGTATGCACCTCTTGCATTATTCTCAATCTTTTTCAGGTTTGGATCTGAGATATAATGATTTGACTGATGTTGGAGTAAGGCACGTGGCAACGTTCCTCCAGGTGCCAAAATGTTTCTGTTTCAGAAGTGTGGTTTATTTGGCTATGGTAATATTTCTGTGGTGTATTGGAGACCAAGACTGCATTGGTTTGGCAGAATTCCATTAATTTGACTTTTGCAACCAAATCTCTCCTGTTAGGATCTCAGATTGTGGTCTTTGAATTTCTGATAGTATAAGATATATTAGTATGTCTGAAGAAAGAGCAAGACAGTAAGCCAGGAGTTTTTAAGCTAACATTCATTTCAATGAAGGATGTAATGGTAGCGTGGATTGTGCCAGGGCCTCTGTTTTATGTATTTTATCCCTTCTCAGCCTTTCTGTGAGTCTAAACTTACTAAACTTTAGTGCTGCCTTTTTACAATTGTAAGCACTGGCACGCGGATCAAAAACAGTGACTGTAAATTCAGCATCTGTGCATTCACAAAATACCTGCAGGTCTGTATCTGAGCTTCACCTGCCTTGTTTGATCCCCTGGGCTCCTAGGGGGCTCTCATAGGACTGTGAGGATTTACTCATCTGATGTACTTGAGCATTCTTTACTTTCCACATCAGGGGCTGCCTGTAATGTGGTGCAGGACAGAGGTTGTAGTGCATGTATAGCATGTCTCCTTTTTGAAAAGTGCAGGGTGCAATAGAAGCAATTCTCATTGCTTTCTGCTTTATTTCTTCGGAAGGAAAACTCAACTCTGCGATACCTTAACCTGATGTTTAACGATATTGGCACGAGTGGAGCTGAGCTGATAGCAAATGCTCTCCATGTGAGTATTCGTCTAGGAGATTTAGACAGTGGCATCTTGCTAGATATTTTCTGCTTCTGATGAGCAGCACGAGCTGTCCTGCCAACATAAAGCTGGCTGAAAGAGCCCTCTGTCCTCTGCTGCTCAGCTCTTTGCTGTAACACAGCGACTGCTTGTTTTCCCAAGGCAGACTTCAGAAATCAGATTTCACACAAGAGAAAGTAGCCCTGTGCTGCCATTAGTACTTAATTATCACAACTGTGTGATAATTTTCTGTGTGAAAAGCGTTGTTGTGCTGTAGGGTGTAGAACGTCATCAAGGTTTTCCTTAGGTTATGAGTTTTTGGAATTGGGTGTGAAATTTGCCTGTACCTTAATGGCAACAAATGTTTTGATTCTAGATACCTGAGATGGGTTTTCAAAGCTTTGCCTCACAGCAGCATGAAAATGTCTGTTATTTTTAACACGGTTTCCCAAGGAAACGAGGCTAGCGTGTAAGGTTTGTTTTGTCTATGAAGTGAGGCTCACGTGGGCTCTTCCTTCCTTCTTCGTGGTCTTTGAACTAATCTTCTAATCTCAACTAAATTTGAGAGGCCTGAAATGCTGAGACTGTATGATAGGACTGTGCATTGCCAGTTAATGCAGAAATACCTGCCTGGGTTGTTTTCAGCTGCTTAGTGCTATCTCTTGGGCACAGTTTTTCTGGAGGGACCTTTTGTCTGTGTGTGACAATGAGCGGGATCCACAGGAAAAAGGGCAGTGATATTTTTATTAAGAGAATTGAAAGAAAATGATTTTACCTTTTTCTTTTGATTTTGTTCCAGAGCAATGAAACTCTTCTGCATTTGAGATTGACTGGAAACAAAATAGGCAATAAGGGTGGAATGTACTTTGCTTCAATGCTACAAGTTAATTGCACCTTAGAGAAGTTAGATCTTGGAGACTGTGATGTGGTGAGTAAATCAGTAGAATCATCAGCAATGTAATAATTATTTCAGGAGTATCACAAAGGTGCTGCACTGCTTGATTATGAGAAAATGTCATCTGTTGCCATTGGTTTTGCATTTTATGATGGCTGGAGGTAACACATTACATAATATTGTAGCGTGTGCTTGGAAAGGCATGTTGTATAAAACGCTGAGGTCATAACCAGTGATACATTGCAGCCACTGCCATTGGGAATTCAGGTGCTTGGCTTTCATGTGCTCCAGCATTGTTTCTTCTGTTCCCATTATTTATGTGTGTATATGTATATATACACATACATTTTTAAGTGAATATATAAAATATATAGTAAATATATGTATATTTGTGTGTGCATGCAAATCCTGTCTGAGTGATGCTGCAGAAAGGTGGTGTTCTCCTTCTGAAGTGTGCAGTACTATGAAACTTGCAAGTTATCCTCCTCACAGTTCTGTTGCTCATGTTGGAGCTCAGCTCGTTGATGCCATAGGTGTGGCAGTGCTGAGCTGAGCAGAAAGGCCCCCAGCTCGATTTGAGATAACTTGCTGCCTCCTGGAGTTGAGTGCTGGGAGTCCCCTGAACTTCAAGGGGAAATAGAGAATAGAAACTGGCACAAGGAGTAAATTTGACTGTAACATAACAGCTGTGACTGTCGCCTGGAGGCAGGGAGAGATCTGGGGGTCAGGTGAAGATGTTATTATATAATATTTGTTTTGTGGAATTACAGAACTTTCTCCCAAACTGGAAGGGGGAAATACCTTCCAGAAACTGGGGAGGATGTTACCAGTACATAAACAAGGGAAGTGCTGCCCGAGTAAAACTTACCTGGATGCTTCATCTCTGTATGATTGGTAGAGAGTTAACAGTTCTGTTTTAAAATGAAATGTCTTTGAATGTAGACAAGGCTAATCAGAAAAAAACATAAACATAAGTTAGTGAGCAAAATGAGGAAATAGAGAAATCCCAAACTGGCCTGTATTCTAGGCTGACTGTTCTGTACCATGTGAATTCACATGTAGTGTGCATTTACCTAGTGGAGAAGTGTTAGATGAGACTTGTACTGAAGATTGCAGGGAACACTCCCAAGTTGATTTTTCTTCTCAAATCAGGAAAACCAACACAAGGATCAATGAAACGGACAAGTACCTCTTGGAGATCCATCATATTTGCTTTCTTTTTTTTTTTCTGAGTTGCTGGATTTTCTAGCTGTTTACAGTTCTTAGTCTCATTGCACTGCTGTTCTACAAGAAATTTGCATTGGTGCCAGTAGGCACTTGCTGGCTGCACTTGTATTTCTCCAAGGTACAGGAGGCAGAAGTAATACTGTTTCCAGCCAGAGCCTGCCTAGTGGTTCTGATCTTCTGACAATCCATTCCAAGAAGTCATGGTAATACGAGAGCTTGACCTGTTCACCGGACAGGTTTATCTACAAGACTTGTCTGTTTTCATTTGCAGGGTACACAGTGTCTAATAGCAATAGCATCAGTCCTGACTCAGAACAAAGCAGTCAAAGCAATAAACCTCAATCGTCCATTGCTGTACAGCCAGGAGGTAAGGTAATAGGCTGCAGTGCCAGCTCAGGCAAAGAGAGGAGCACAAGCAAAGTCACTACTGATAAGTTTATGGACATCTGGGCTACTCTGGGTTTTCTTGAAGTGATAATTGGTTGTGGGAATACTTTATTTTTTTTCTGATCCCAAGTTTTATGCAGCCTCGGTCTGCCCTTGTTTAACTGGAAAGTTAATTTTGTTTTATTTTTCTTGGTAGGTATGCATTTATGAAGCAGTGGGCAAAGGGAGATGGGTATTACTGAACCAAATATTCATTTTGCTGCCAGCGCTTTGGAGAGTTTTGTGCATCATTCAGCAAAGTGAGGGACAAAAGCTGTTTAGCAGGAACTGAGGGAAGGACAAAAGACTGCTTTTTATCTGAGCAGAGCATGGGCGATTGCCAGAGGCTGCAGCCTAAAGAAAGGCACACTTAACAATATCCCTTATTCACAGTGCCATGGTTTTGTTTCACTATGTGGACTTGTAGCTTGAATTTAACAAGTGAATGAACCTCATCAATGTAAAACCTATGATGTGTTTTCAATCCAAAACAAAGACACAAGAGCTTCCAAAACAGTCGAGCACTGAAGAGAGATCAGTGAGGCAGTGTTTGCTGTAGGCAGCACCCTGGCACTGGGTATGTACATGCACCAGAGCTTCTGCCTTGCAGGCATGCAGCTCCTGTCCCTCATTGCTCCTGCTGTTTCACCAGCGTCAGCAGTTTTCAGGTGCATGAAGTGCATACTCTATTTTCCCAATTGCATGATAATACAATGAATTGTTGTGAAGGCCAGCAGATCTTCCCATATCCCAGAGATGTTTTCAACAGTTCAAACAGCTGATAGCTTCTTCTCTACTGAGACAGGGGTCTGATCTACCTATCCGCAGTTTTACAAGGCCATTTACATCACTGGTATGAAAATAAGGGCCTAAGCTGTATCTGGGGGAAACTTGCTCTTTGCCATTGCTGTCATTTGCTGAGGCCTGTGGCTTGTTCCCTTATTATTGACTCAAAGATCTCATGCAGTTATTTTTTAATAAACAAAACCTCAAAGTAGATGTGCAGTGTCTTATGGTGACGGCACATTTCTCTTCTTAGCAGTGTCTCTTTTCATAAAGTAAGTGGCATGACAAAATACTTCTAATGTTGGTGAAAGCTGATCCAACTACAGTTTTGTTAAAGCAATGACTGGGAAGGAAATAAGATAGGAGCATCAATGCTTGAATGACTTGATATTTACAGGGATGTACAGTACTGCAAATCTGCAAATACTTCTGTTATTTTTCACTTTTTTTGGTTGTAATAGTGCATCACTGCCTGGCTATTTTCAGTACAAAGCTGTAAGATACAAATAGACCACCACTGACAACCAGGGTTAGCTGTTGTACGTGTCTTTTACTGAAGCAAGACTACATCTTATCCTAAAGTATAGTTTAATAAAAATGAGTGTTTACTTCTAGGAAGAGACCACAGTCCACATAGCTTTGATGCTGAAAAATAATTCTTCTCTTGTGGAGCTACATCTGTGCAAGCATGAAATTAAAAGCTTTGGTGTAGAGCGACTGTGTGAGGCGTTGTATGAAAACTGCAGCCTGAGATACCTTGATCTTAGCTGGTAAGAGTTAGTACAGGACCTAACCCTGACTGACATTAGATGCTCATTTTCTTAGTATCTCTTTTATAAATATATATATATGCATATCTCTTTCAGTAATAAAGTAACTCGTGAGGATGTGAAATTTCTGGGAGAACTACTGAAACAGAACCAAACTCTGGAAATCCTAGATCTTAATTCAAACCGAATAGAAGATGCTGGAGCTATCTACTTGAGTGAAGCTTTGGCTTTGTACAACAGGACTCTTAAGGCGTTAGTATTTCAGTAACTTCCTCAGGGATTGCAGACAGAAAACACTCCAAATATAAGAAACTCAGACTCTGCCGTGGCTGAACTGATGTGAAAATTGTGCTTTGACATTAGCAGTCAAAACAGAAAACACACAAAGCTCCAAACTTCTTGGTACAGCTGAGGAAAGAAAAAATGAGTGACAGTATGGAATTCATTTGCCTAGCCATAGGTGTGGGAGGGTGAGAGGGGAAGGGTGAGGGTGAAAGTTAAATTGGTTCTGCAATGGTTCTAAGCATCTTACCTGAGACTAAGTCATTTTTACATTCATTTCGAGGAGCAGGAGAGAGGCTATTAGATCTTTATTGTTCTTTATCCACCTTTAAAGCACAGGTCCCTGTGTTGCACAAGCATAAACAAACTAGGATCTGTACATCTTCAGAATTTTAAGCCAAGCAGATTCCATAGAAGGCTAAGGCTCTATATTTGTTGATTCTGATCTTCAACACTTAAGAAAATCCTCTGTTTAAGTTAGCTTCCGGGTGAACCCAAAAGAGCTGTAATCTGCCCATCGGTGTGCATTCTGAGCACGCATTAAGCCGTGCACCAGCAGGAGGTATAAAGCTGATCAAAGGTGTTACCTGAAGCCACGAGTGTTAAGCAGCAGACTGAGGAGGTGGTGGCTGCTCGGTGCCTCTGAAAGCCTTCCAGGCTCACCGATGTAAAAATAACTGCCGCACAATAAAGATCAAAGCTTAACCTGGCCAGGCGCCAAGGCCTGGGCTGCAGAGCAGACAGAAGATGAGATGTGGCCACCACACAGTAAGCCACTACACTGAACAACTGAATGGGGAGCAACCTGGCTGTGTGAGTCATGGCAGTGCCTTGGGACACAGTACAGTTCCAGAGTCCAACCTGCCTGTAGCAACCTGACAAATATTTTTAATAGGAATGGGCTTGATACAAATATCTTATTACATTATGACAAATAGAAGATTTCATTATACATACAGTTGTATAAAGTCTAACTGAGTAAAACCCTGAGTTTTAGCTAAGATATGGGAATGCAGTGGCTTAGCATGCTTGCATAACTATTTTCTGTTTATTAGGTTGTCAGTAGTGAGCAACAATATAAGTGGCAAAGGGCTGGCAGCTCTCTCACAAGCAATGAAAATAAATGTGGAACTCTCCTACGTTTATATTTGGGGGAACAACTTTGATGAAGCCGCCTGTACGGTGAGTACTGGACTGAAGTGACCAAGTGCGTGCCCACCGTGTTTTATCTTCTAGGCCCTTCCTTACAATCAAAGTGAAATATTGTATGGCAGCTTCTTGTTTCGTTCATTTCAGGCATTTTCAGAATTAATTCAGGCAGGCCGCTTGAAACCTGGTTGCACAGATGTGGAACCGTACGAAGTGGACGGGCACGTTCACCTTGCAGAGCTCTCCCATGGCCTTAAAAAGCATTACTACTGGACACCAAGCTATGGGGAGGTGAAGAACGCTGCTGCTAATGCCAGTCTGGCAATTGCAGCTGTTTCAGAATATTTCTAAGGTAGGATCTTGGTGTGCTCACATAGTTTATCTGTCTTCTAGTACAACAGATATCAAACACGCTGCTGGTTGTTTCTTCAGTGTCTTTACCCTGCGAGTCTAGAAATACTTTAAAATAGCATTAGAGATGAAATATCAAACCAATAAGTGGTAAAATTTGTTTTTAAATAGTGGCCAATCTATTAAAAGCCTATTAATATGAAAGCATGTTTGTTTTGCTATAGTCATTACTATTGTGCATGCGTGTGCTTTGCTGTGCCATGGTTGGGTAGAGCTCCCTGGTTGCCAGGTGACAGATGAATGCATGTAAGTGATGTGCTGAGATGAGAACAACTTCCACTATGGCGTGACACACTACAAGTGACAGCAGGTATTCTTAGCAGCAATGCAGAATATAGCAGTCACTGACAGGAGGTGGTGTGAAGACTCTGAACGTCAGTGGTGCATGAACTGAGCTTCCAGCAGCTGCACTGCTCAGCTCTATTTGGGAGCCCTTCTCAGGTCAGCAGTTACCAAGTGCTTATTTAAAGAGGATGCAGGGAGTGCATCAGAGCAGCAGCAGAGCCCATGGATCAGGTACTGTGACCATGGTGTCCTTTTCCCCTGGGCTGCTGCAGAGAAACAGCTGCTGCTGCCCTTCCTGCAGCCAGGTTTCCCCACAGCAATTTCTGCTGTCTCTCTGTGGGCTGAAGTGCAGCTAGGCAGACCGTGTTGATTAAAACAAACAGAAAGCTCAAACTTCCATTTAGGACTGCTGCTGAGCAGCAGATTTGCTTGAGAGCAAATCAGATATGTGGTGGAACAAGATTCCTGTTAGAGTTAGGAGTCTGAGTAAGTCCGTGTGTCACTACTAGGCTCTATATGCCATTAATGAGGAAAAAGAGAAAGCAAGCTTTTGTTGTTTATCCAAAAACATTTTATATTTTGTTAAACAAGTTCGATGAATTTAAGCTGGTAGCTGCAATAATGCAGGAACTTGAAGAGCAAACTCTTTACTTTTATCAGAACAGTATTTTGATTCGCTTGCAGTGTGTGGTTGTTATAAGGATAAATGGAATCTACTTTTGAAAATGCTAGCATGCTTTCTGAAATGTTTTTAACAACAGGGTGTTTGACCCACAGGAACGCTCTGCATTATTGACAAGAGCAGTAGAAATAGCTGGTGCTGCACCTTGCTTTGTAAGAAAGGGCAGCAGCATCACTTACTGAATTTTGTGTCAGTGGATGCAAGCTAAAGTAACTTGTTATGCAAAAAAAAAAGAAAAAAAGAAAAAAAAAGGAGTATAGATTAAGGCCTATGCCAGAAACACTGCTTTCCTTGAAACTCTTGAAAGATGCATCCTTGTGTTCTTTTGAAGGAGAGAATTCACATAGCTGGGCCTTCTTGCCGTGCTATTCTAGTAGCTAAAAAAGCACAATCCTGTTCTGTAAATCATTTCTTCAGCTGCCAGAACTCAAAGCACCTTTTAGAAAGGCAGCATTTAGACCCCAGTGTAAGGGGAAGGAAAATAACCGATCCAGCAGGCCAGTGATACAGTGCAGGTCCACGAAGCCCTGCTGAGTGCTCTGGCCTTTATACCACCTTCTGTCAGTTGAACTATTCAGTAAAAATAAGGTAGGCAAAATACAAATTTGGAGTTGAGTGACTATCATCTTTAGCAGAAACAGTGAACTTTCAAAGCAGTCTAAGTAAACAAACAAAACCAAACCTCCAATCCTCAAACCTTACCAGCAGGAAAATAAAAGTACTAACATAAGAGTGTTTATATTAAACTGCATCTAGAAACAAAGTGTTTAATTTGGGTTGAACTGATCCAAAATATCTTTTATCAGGCAAATCAGGTGTTTCTTACTGCCAAGGAAGTGTGGTAAACCTTGTTGTATGCAGTGTCCTGCAGTGTGTGGTGTCCTGTGCTTCCTGACAGGGTGCTGTGGTGGTGATGTTAGACTGCTTCCCTCCTCCTTTTGTTGTTACCCCTTGCAGTTCTAAACAGCAGACACGAGGTGAGGGAAAAGTACAAAACAAGTTTATTAAAGTCTAACATAAAACACTTCAGGCTAAATATGTACAACTCCCTGCCCAGGAGATTATAAAATCGAGAGTTGAGCTATATACAAATAACAGAGGAAAGGCTGTATATACATGAAAGATACTTCAAAAATAATTTAAACCAAAAATCAGTCATTAACCTTAACTCTGCTGCAAGGCTTATCGACATCCTCTCCGAAATCACAGCCCTGAAATCCTAGATGAGGGATTTGTCTGTACTTGACAACTTTTCTTAAGCCATATGTTTCAAGAAAACTTTCATGCTCTGTGCCTACAGATAGGCACCGATTCAGATAAATGCCACACAAGGAGTGATTCTAACATAAGTATTTGAAACAGCCAATTCAGACATTTATAGTTGCAAATAATCTGTTCAGGTTGAACTGAAATGCTACTGAAACAATGATGTTTCTTGGATAAATTAAGTCATTTTCTGTAAATTACCAATGATGGACTAAAATTCTCTTTCATTTTGCAGGTAGGTCTCAAGAATGAGAAGAATCCCTACAAAAATTCCAAGTTTCCCCCATTCATCTCTGAAGGAACTTACCAATATCGTTAATCACCACGTACCTCCACAATGAACTCCTTAAGCCTAAGAATGAATGTGCAGCTGACTTCATGCATCTATGGGCACAAGGTACCGTACAGAGCTGCTTCTTCAGGCCATGGAGCACCCAGCCTGAACACTCCTACAAATTCAATATATATCTCTTTCTATATATATTTAAAATCTATATTCTATTAAATGAATACCGTTGATAGAGATCATACCTCAGCAGCTGAGATATCTGCACAAAAGATGAGGGTAAGAATCGAGGTTCTCAGATGAGGACTGAAGAGTGCAGTTCACTAAATTATTGCTCTAAGTCAAAATTACAGCCTGTGTATTCTACTAAGAAAGGCTAAAAGTGGTGTTTTGTAAAAAATAATGATTATTTTCTTGTCTATAAAGAAAACTAAATGACTACGAAAGAAAGTGGTACTGTTATAAGCATCTAAACAAATCCTGTATAAATCTAAGTACTGTTTTAAAAAGCCTGAAAATCTAAGAATACAGCAATAAGCTATTATTGTAGAAATATAAAAACAGTCCAAACACTGTTATGGAATGCATTTTCTAAGTAGGAATGTAGTTACTTCTTCCTAGAGCAAAACAGCTCTTGTCCTTTATTCTGAATTTTAATCCTCAGATAACAATAGTGTATCATTAGTTTATCTTCCAGAGTTGGTTAAACATGACATTTATCGAGCATACAGTGCTGCACTTTGTCAATACTCCTGGCTAAGTCTGTGTCTATGCCAAGACTCTTCCTCTGTTTTCAGAAAGTGAAAGTAAAGAGGAATCTTAGAGCAAGGTACAGCGTTCACTTTGTTAAATGGAATCAGGATTCTGCTCTTTGTGGTTCTTGAATGCTAGTTGGCTACAGAATCATTCAGCTCCTAATCAACAACAGCAACTTGGAAGAAGAAAAAGCCATGGGAGAAGCAGTAGTAGGGAACTGCCAAACAAGATCTGAGAACTTCATCTATTGCCCTGTGCCAGCCTTATGAAGGGCATCAGCTGTACGTAAATGGTGCAGGATGGATAAGCAAAGAAATTAAATGTCAAGAAGTATGGCAGTAATTAGCAAACAAAGTGAAAAATGCCTGCATTCAACTGTTCCTGGGCCACTCCATGCTGCCTGTGGTAGATTTTATCATTAAATTGGCCATATCTTATGACTTAAAACATGATCAAGAAGCAGAGTTCTAACCGTGCCCCATATCAAGATGACCAACACAAAGAAATGAAAGATCTGTTACTTCCCAAGTACAAATGTAGAGGAAAAAAATCTGTAGTCATGCTCAGGAGTCAAGGGACCATCTGCAGAGCATTTACATGAAATCCTCCAAGAACTTTTTCACAAGGCTGTTTAATTAAGGGGCAGATTAATTTTTACTCCATGTAGAACACAGTTAAGAGGTATCTCCTATGCCCTTCTATTTATCAATGTCTGGACACAAGGCATCAGTGGGAATAAAATGCTAGCACCAAAGAAATAACCAACAAGTGATATCTTTAAATGTATTTGTGGCACAGTCATAAGACTGCTTCCTTACTATTTGATGATTATTTAGGTAACATTTATATCATGTTAATGGCACAAACTGGCAAAATGGAGCATTAAAAAAGGTACTCCTACTCTTAACCAGTGTCTTTAATGATCCTACAGAGAACCTAAAAATGCTTTGTTAAAAAAAAATATAAATTGCTAATAGTAAAATATACCTTTGCAAGAGTCTTGCTAGATACCAATGACAGTTACTGTGGATATGCAACACGAAAGGTAAATGAATACATAAATACTTCAGTTGAAACAAATCCCTGCTTGGGAGAATGTTAATCTGCCCTGTTGTATTCTTCCTCAATGCCCCCTCAATAGCAGTTATGCAGTATTTTCACAGTGAAGGGCTGCATTTGTTTCTTCTTTTGTACCTACTGACCAGCACCACAAGAAGCACAAAAATGATCATTATGAAGCTATGGATCACACATCACAGTTCAGTCAATGCATCTTTTCACCTCATCTACAACACCCATGTTCTAGCTCTTCTGGTGAGCAAATGCTGCTGCTTGTGCCAAATTTGGGATATTTCAGACATATGAAAAAAGATCTTGGACAAGTTACAACACTAGATTCACTTCAAAAACGAGTGACTTCTGGGAAAGAATACACAGTAGTACCTATGCCATTAGAACTCTCTGGGTTATCATGCTAAAGAAACTCTCCTTTACTTGCCCCATCAGGGACATAAACACAAAGCTTTCTGTCCCTCTGGTCAGACTTCAGCTGAAGATGGACTGCTTCTCACAGACAGCAGTAATTCTTTGAGAGGACCTTGACTGAGCACTGGCCTACCTGCCATCACGTACCATTACAGGACCTCAGGATGCTCTTTAGCACATTCAGATTATGACTTTCCCTTAAAAACAAACAAACAAACAGCATGTTGCCTAGGACCACATCCTAGCAGCTTTTGAAGATCCCCAAGCAAGGGGACTCCAGCAACCTCTCCTGGCTACCTGCTCCAGTGCTCAGGTGATACTGTCACACACCAGATGGACAGGAACATAACAGGAGATCTCCAAAATGCATTAGAGTATTTAACAGAGAATACTTAAGGCAGGCATTGCTGGAAAACATGTAACTCCTGGAAGTGTTAATTGCAAACAGAAGGTTGATTGTAGATTAGCACAATTCAACAGTGACAAAAAACAAAAAAAAAGACAGCATAGTACAATGGAAACAGCTTACAACTGCCTTTACAGAAAGGAAAAAAAAAACCAAGAAAATTCAAGAAGTGACTGCTTGATTGATTACGTTCATCTTTACCAAAGGTGAGTTCACTGCTGGATTTCTTTGCTGGCTCTACAGTGTCAGTATAATTGCTGCAAGAAAATGAACTGAGGTTCTGAATATCCAGTCACAGCAGATCTCAGTAATGTTTCTGATGATGGGGACTGACTGCCTGCCACAGGAAGAAGCATCTGATGGTCTTCAGTACCAATGGGAAGAGGAAGCGGCAAAGACATCTCAGAGGGTTTCACATCTACAGACTCTGATAAAGGACTCTTCTGACTCTGAAGGGATTCTTGATCATTGAAAGAATTATCAAGTGTATTGCAATCAGGGGGAGTTTCAGATCCTGGCAAAAAAAAAAAATTCCCAATCATTTATTTTCCCCAGCAATTAGCAAATGGAACAAGTTAGCAAATGATGCAGGAATTGTTATTAGCAAGAGCTAAGGGGGACTTGTTTCCAGAGAGCATGAGCAACTGCTATTAGAAGTCTTGCTACAGATGGCAAAACTCTACAAGAGAAAGACAGCTGAAGTGTCCTTACATGGAGGAATAAAAATGAACAGACAAATTTGTTGATGTTGATGACATGTTGATGATGACTGTTGATGACAAGTCAATAATTGATGCTGCTTCTGAACCTTTCTTTACACAAGGAACTTACCTGTGTGAACTTTTGTTTTGTGCTTCTTAAGGTTTTTTATATCTGTGTAAGAATTTCCACACAGTTCACAAATGAAGGGTCTTTCTCCTGAAAAAAAGTTTGACAGATTAATCTTAAAAGTGAAAGAAGACGCAGTTGCTGACACAGGATAATGGATTTCTAAGTTGTATTTTAAAAATGCATCATGATAACTGCAAGCTGTTTTGTCTGTGCCATTATTCAGAATAAGACTGTTTCCAGAACAGTAGATTAAAACAAAGAAAAAAGCCTCAATGCTCGAGGTAAAGCCCTTACATCAACACTTATGCTGTTACATGCAGACATATGTCTGAAATAGGCAATTAAAAAAGTCACAGACATTTTCTTTAAATTATTTTCATGCTGAAATACATACATTAAGAAATTACTACTCTTAAGTGCAACACAATATGGTATATTTTATAGGCAAAAGGGAAGAAGTAGAATCTTATTTATTGTGCAGGAAGCAGCCTGTCTGGAAACTGACCTGTATGGGACCGAAAATGTTTATTGAGTTCTCCAGAGGAAATAAAACTCTTTCCACAGATGCCACAGATATATGGCTTCTCTCCTAAAGTAAACACAAGGAGTTTGTTATTTCAACATATAAACCAGAATATACAGTATGAAGAACAAATTAAAATGAAACAGAGAATATCCAATGGGAGAAAGAGCTCCCTAAACCAGAGTCAAAGAGAAAGAACACGAGAAAAGCACTGGTTGAGAACACCAGAGGTGACCCCCAGCTCCTCCCAGTGCGGACTTCCTCCTCATTACCCATCCCAACCCCTCTGCAGCAACCATCTCCTGCCAGGCCTGGTTGGGTATCTCCATGCAAGGTCTCCCCTTACCTGTGTGTTTTCGGGAATGGGTGATGAGAGAACTTGAGACAGCAAAGGCTTTTCCACAGGTGTCACACACGTAAGGCTTCTCCCCGGTGTGGCGACGCACGTGGTAGGTGAGCGTGCTGGCCTGAGCAAAGCGCTGACCGCAGCGATCGCACACGTAGGGCTTCTCACCACTGTGCTTCCTGGGAACAAACAGACATCAGGGGTCTGCTGGCACAAAGGGAACTCACCCTCACTGTTCAGTGATTTTCCTCAAGTTTCTTCTGCTTTCTCCTCACAGTGGTGTTCTGTGAACTAAAACACCTCATCAGCTGGGAGCTGATTTTGAGTCCGCAGTTTCTCACTGAGGGAAATTCACTGGGAATGAGGGCATCAATGATTCCTTCTTCATTCCTTCTTTCTCCTTACTTCATAGAATCATAGAATGGCCTGGGTTGAAAAGGACCACAGTGCTCATCCAGTTCCAACCCCTGCTGTGTGCAGGTCACCAACCAGCAGCCCAGGCTGCCCAGAGCCACATCCAGCCTGGCCTTGAATGCCTGCAGGGATGGGGCATCCACAGCCTCCTTGGGCAACCTGTTCCAGTGCCTCACCACCCTCTGGCTGAAAAACTTCCTCCTAAAGACAGAACAATGACCTCCTAACAAGGAAACATAATTTGTACTCCTGCCAAAAATGCAAAAGCTCCATTCAGGCTGCAGTCAGCAGAGAGACCCACTTTGTACCACGTCCTATCAAGATCCTCTTTCCTCTGCGAGTACTACAGACAATTAAAAACAAAACAAAACAGCCACCATTGCCATAAGGATACCAGTACATACACTGTAACATTCATAAATTCATAAAATGTGTAAATCAAAACCCTAATGAGTGACTACACAGATATACAATTTATTACACAGGGTGAAGCAAGACCCAAGATAAAACATGCAGAAATGACCAAGTTATGTGAACACGTGACTCCTGCTAACACCAGAGTTAATCATTCTGTTTAAATAAATGTATGGATAAACACCTTCAGGATCTCACTTCTGCCTACCTGGCATGAATCTTCAGATTGCTTGAAGTTGCAAACTGCAGATTGCACACATCACATTTGTATGGTTTCTCTTCTCCGTGATGCATCCGACTGTGGAACACCAACTGGCACTTCTGAGCAAAGCCTTTGTCACACAGCTCACATTTGTATGGCTTCTCTCCTAGCAAAGAACAAAACCTTTGTACTGTC